GAAAATGGGGAATGGAAAAGCAACAAAATGAAGTACTGCATGGCAATGGCTAATGTTAACCAGTGTTAGGCTGATGTTAACCAGTGTTAACTTCATTCTCACATGTTTTTAACTAAGCAATATAATGTGATGCATTTAAACAGAAACTTCCCCTGTGTAGCCTGTCTATGCATGGTCATATGCAAAAGCTTGCCCTGGTCAAATTACATGTTTTGTCGATTTTCTAAGTGAAAATAAGTGCACATCCTCTACACATTTCTGCACATTTAATGCACAATTACTGTTTATCTGATGAATTTAACATATTGGGGAAACAAGTAAACATGAAATGTGGCTTATTTTAAGTTATGGCACAATAGAAATAAGCCAAACTGTTGTGACTACCTGCCTAATATGCTTTTGGTCATCTAGCAGCAGATCTTTTAACATCACACAGTTGCTCGATTGGATTGAAATCTGGGGAATTTGGAGGCCAGGGCAACATCTTGAACTCTTTGCCATGTTTCTCAAGCCATTCCCAAACAATGTGTGCAGTATGACAGAGTGCATTATCCTGCTGAAAGAGCCCACTGCCATCAGGAAATACCCCTGAATACCATGAAGGGGTGTGCCTGGTCAGCAACAATGGTGAGGTAGGTGGCACGTGTCAAACATCTACACAAATGCACTGATACAGGGTTTCCCCACAGAACATTGCCAAGAGCATCACACTCCATCCACCGGTTTGTCCTTTTCCCACAGTGCATCCTGGTGTCATCCATTTCTCAGGTAAACTCTGCACACCTTCTTTCATTGCTCCAAGGTACAGTTCTGATGCTCACGGACCCAGTGCAGATGCTTTCGATGGTGGACAGGGCTTAGCATGGGCACTCTGACTGGTCTGCAGCTATGAAGCCCAAAACACAACAGCGTGCAATACACTGTGTGTTGTGACACATTCCTCCTGAAACTATCAATAAAAAATATCTGTGACTTGTGCCACAGTAGCCCTACTGTTGGTTCAGGCCATAGCCTTTGTTGCCCTAGGCAGCAGTTTTTGGATCAATGCTGGGAAACTACATTTTGCAATTAGCCATTTTAATAAGCAATAGAGGCTATGTCTTTTTCAAAGACAGAGACAGTGACAAGAATTTTAAATTATATTTACATTTGCTGGCTGAGAATGCTTACCTTGTCACCGGAAATCATGGCTCCAAAGCATGGTGAGTGTTTGCAAACAGAGAATAATCGAATTCTCACTGATTTACATAGAGCTCCCCTGCGAGACTGTTACCATGACAGCTTCCACTCTCCCAGTCTTCTGATGCCAGCTACCATAGCCATTCTAGAAACTGCCCAATAAAGCAACTACAAATTCACTGGGATTCATACAGCCTATCTGAAAATGTGTAGAAATGTTTAGTTTTATAAAAATACTCTAGCACTATTCAACTTTCTATCTGCCACATCAATTGCAATAAAGTCAGTTACCACAGACATTGGTTTTAATGTGTTTCCCTCTGCTTAGTTAAAGAATAGAGAACCTGAATCACCTGCCCATTGCCTTCTATTACAAATGTGCTTTAAGTCAACAGGCTTTCTGTTCTTTTCTACAGAAAAATTAATGTATATGGCATTTAATCTTGTGCTAAAAATATGGCTGCAGTAATCCTATAAGATTAGATGTAGGTAGTAGCTTTTTCTTACAGGCTTATTGTGTAGGTGGTAGACTGAGTCTTTTCAGTTATTGAACATTTTTTTGTAAACTTTAAAATAAGTCATGAAGCAAATCAGGCAAATGCTGTCAACTACTAAACAAAATGATCAATCAAGAGTCTCGCTTCATCTGTTTATCTCTTAGTCAATAAATCCTCTCACTATCAGCGCAGCAAACCATGGAGGTAAAGAGCTGGAGAGCTGTGTTAGCCCAGAGATTTAATCTGGTTAGATACAAAGTCTATCTAGGTGTATGTGTAATGGTAATAAATGTTAGATACATACATACATACATCATCTAAACCGCTTATCCTTCTGGGTCACGGTGGGGTGCTGGAGCCTATCCCAGCTGTCATTGGGCGGAAGGCAGGATACACCCTGGACAGGTCGCCAGTCTATCACAGGGCAGACAGACAGACATACACATTCACTCACACACACACTCACACCTAGGGGCAATTTACCATATCCAATTGGCCTGACTGCATGTTTTTGGACCCGGAGAAAACCCACGCAGACACGGGGAGAACAGGCAAACTCCACACAGAAATGACCCTGGTCACCCGACTGGGAATCGAACCCAGGCCATTCTCGCTGTGAGGCAACAGCGCTACCCACTGCGCCACCGTGCCGCCCAATGTTAGATATGTAATAATAATTACTAGAACAACTTATTTGTATTTTGGCAATTCATCATAACATAGAGGGTCTGCTGTGGAGACCAGGCCGTAACACCATAGTCTCCCCTTCCACAGCCACGGTAGGCTCTAGTGGGTCAGTGACAGGCTAATTTTGCCGCTGCATCTCTGTGTCCATTAGTCAGCCATGCCATGCAGCTTCTCTGGGAAACCTCCTGCAAGAATTTCTCAAAGTCACCACAAGTGTTTCCTGCACAGTGTTAAAAGGGAGCAGCTTAAAGGGCCTCATTATGGTCATTTTCAACCCCCCTACTCTTCTGGTGTGATGAAGCCCAGAATTTGCCTTTCGCCCTCTCAGGCTAATCTAGGGTGTGTGGGCAGGCCTTATCAAGCCTCCTTCCAAAATGTCATTTTTCACCCACACATCAGCTAATTGTGGAAGGAAGTCTGTTAACAGGAGAGACAGAAGCAGAGTGCAGACAGACAGGTCAGAAATAGAACACACATGCTAGCAGGACTTTATTAATATTATTATAATTATATTCACTGTATTTTTAAATGCCATTATTATATTTTTACAAGCTTACAACTATTCAATAAATCTGTTTTATATTGATTTATATTTTTGTGTTAAGCATTTTTATTCTTGCCAACAACATCAAAGATTCTAATAGTACTCGTGTTCTGAGGGTGGCTTTATTCACTGAAACTTTCACTAGTTGCATGTTATGAGTTTCATTCAATATAATTTTGCAACAGTTACACAAAGCAATTCAACTCCAATAGTTAACCAATTTGTGCACTGTTATTTACATATTTGCATAATCTTTTTACAGTTTTTCCAGCTGTCATTGCTGTTCTTCTTTTTGATATCTCTACATCTTTCTTTATCTGTCTGTCTAGGGTTCATTACTATTGACTCTGACTTTCAGATCTGTTCTGTGTATGTTAAGCCTTTGAAAATTAATGTTTTATTAACTATAATGAAAGCACAACATGACTGTATCTTAGTCTCCCCTTCTTTCATAATTGTCATCCTTTGGATCTTAAATTTATCTGAGCTCTGTGTAAAATTAGCAGCATCAAGAACAAAAGTGACTTAAATTACTGCAACAGAAGGCTAACAAAAATGAATAAACAGTAGCACAAGCAACCATTTAAAAAGCTGTTAGTGTCAGATGGCTAGTTAAACCACTGTTTAAAGAAACGTTAGCTTTGAGAAACTCAATTTGTCGCCATGGCTCAGGAAACTGACAAAATGGAAAACTACCAAACTTGCATAAAGTAAGAAAGATCTCCTATTCAGTCACCCAATAAACCATCTTCAGTTTTGTTTTTCTGTCGATTGATCTAGTGAAATAGTTTGAAATAATGTTGTTTGATATTTGAAATTAAATTGATGCATTATAAGCAGTTTTATTGGCTGTTTCATGAAACTTGGGTAACACTTTACATTAAGTGTTGACTAACTAACATGAAGTAATGCATTAGTTAACATGAACAAGACATGAAGTAATGTATTAACAAAGGTTACCTAATGTTAAGTAAACATGTTACAACTGCATTAGTTAATGATGTTTTCATGTGAAGTGTTGACTCATTAACATTAAGTAATGCATTTATTAACAACTAAGGTTCTACATTGATAATGGTTAACTAATGTTAATTAAACATGTTACCACTTCATTAGTTTATGTTCTAGTGTTTTGCTTGTGTACTGCAGTTATACATAATGCTTGAAAAAGCAATGTTAAGTAATAGTTTAATTGGCTGAAATGACACTTTACCAATGGTAGCCACTAACTTGTTTTATTCACTTACTTCCATTTACTGATGTAGTATTTTGTACTGTATTTTAAATGATAACACCTTTACTCCCTCCCTACTGCTTTTCCTTCAGTTCCATTTCAGTCATTTAGGTTTAGTTGCTTGTTGGGGTTTCATTGTGTCATCTCCTTGAGGTGGTTCAGCTCCTGTTTTGCTTCTTTGTTGCTCACACCTCTCACTTTGGAGCTTCAATATTTTATTTTAGATGCAAAAGGAAATAAAAAGCTAATAATATAGTCTTCAGTTCCTCTGCTGAGAGATTCTGGATGTACTGAGCTTGACTGGACCTTTCCAAGTTACTCATTACTTATGTATGTAAATGAGCACAAGGTAATATTTTATTTTATATATAAAAGCTTACATTGATATGCTACATTCTGATGTATGTTAGATATGCTTATGTGTGTATTGCATCATACATTTAGAAATTATAAATAAAAACATGATTGTATAAACAGACATTTTCATCAAAGGAAACTACTCAGAGAGCATAACATGCTTTATGTTAAAACCAATAATGTCTTAAAATGTTAATAAATGTTACTAACATTTTTTAAACATTACTAAAGGTTTATAAGGTCTTGTTCAGTGAATTTAATATACCTGATGTAAAGTGAAAACCAATAATGCCTTAGTAATGCATTACTAACATCTATTATACATTACTAAAGGTTTCTAAGGTCTTGTTCAGTGAATTTAATATACCTGATGTAAAGTGAAAACCAATAATGCCTTAGTAATGCATTACAAACATCTATTAAACTTCACTAAACATTAATTAGGTTGTGTTCTGTGAGTTGAATGTACCTGATATAAAATGAAAGAGTAGTCCTGTATTAGTAAAGTACTAGATACTTTAATGCTATAATCTGAAAGCATTACACAATGTTAAACAATAAACAATGTATACCTACACATTCAGCTACCCAGTAGAAATAGAAAAAGAACATAGATAATTTTTTTCTGTATATGTGAAACATTCAGTTCATAGCATTATTAAATTAACACAAAATTACATGGTGCAACTGAAAAAGAGGTAGTCTGTGCACTTGTGTTGCGGTCTACCCCGTATTTTTGGAAAGATTTGGCTGTTGTTTCTTCCTTTTGATTTCATCCTCCTCATTCTCCTCCTTGAGCTTGTTGTCTAAAAACATCAACAAAAACAAGAACTGAGTAAACAAACATGAACAGTTCTACATTTTCATCTCTGGTATAACTAGTCATAACTTGTCGAAACCAATATAAACAGAAAAATTAAATGCTACTACAATGTATGTGAATACATTTGAATTTTGACTACTAACATACACTGTAGAGATATATAAGGTGCAATACATTTGAATACAGAATAGAAACACAACTTTTTCAAGTATTAATGAAAAAGTTTCAGCTTTGCAAACCATTTTAAACTGAACACACATCACAAGGTTAGTTGCAAAAATACCTGTGTGTGGCTTGACCTAAGAACAACACCGGTGTGGAAAGTTCGGTTCATTTTACTGAACCGGTTCTTTCGAACTTATGAATCGAGCGTCTGGTTCAACTGATTTAATAATTTCGTGTTATGATTTTATAATCTTCATTATAAAGGTTAAGATTATACATGCGATTAAGCATATTATGCTGGGTATACACGTTACGAAGAAAAGCTTTGTTCGTCCGAATGTCTGAATCGGTTCCAATGATTCTTTGAAGTGAAAAGAATCGGTTGGTGGAATGAACCGAACTTCCCATCGCAACACTTTTAGCAGAACATCGATAACTAGCTCACCTCAGCTGTCTGGACCAGGTCTGTTTTCGCCATCCGTTCTGCCTCGCTTACTGCCTGAATCCTCGTGTTTTTCCTGGTCTTTCTCGGCCCGTCAGCGAGTATCTGGTGAACTTTGCAGGGTAACCGCACCGTGAACACTCCGAACTGCCTAATGGGAACTCATCTGCGCGCGCAGGACGCAGAAGCAGTTTCACCCGTGATTGGCTGGTGAGGAGAACTGGTTTAAACCGATTGGCTGAAAGGAAGCGGGAGTTTTGCGCTTCAGCACAGACGGACTCGGCGCATATAGTCCAGTAAGATCCCAGCGTGCTGACCGTATATATGAAAGGAAACACAACAGCCAAATCTGTCCAAAAATACGGGGTAGACCGCAACACAAGCGCAGAGACTGCTTCCATTGCAGAGCTATCCGCACCAGAGACACCACCAGCTCTGTGATGAACCTCTTTTTAGTTGCACCATGTAATTTTGTGTTAATTTAATAATGCTGTGAACTGAATGTTTCACATATACAGAAAAAAATCTATGTTTTTTTTCTATTTCTACTGGGTAGCTGAATGTGTAGGTATACATTGTTTATTGTGTAACATTGTGTAATGCTTTCAGATTATAGTATTAAAGTATCTAGTACTTTACTAATACAGTACTACTCTTTTATTTTATATCAGGTACATTCAACTCACAGAACACAACCTTGTTAATGTTTGGTGAAGTTTAATAGATGTTTGTAATGCATTACTAAGGCATTATTGGTTTTCACTTTACATCAGGTATATTAAATTCACTGAACAAGACCTTATAAACCTTTAGTAATGTTTAATAGATGTTTGTAATGCATTACTCAGGCATTATTGGTTTTAACATAAAGCATGTTTTGCTCTCTGAGTAGTTTCCTTTGATGAAAATGTCTGTTTATACGATCATGTTTATATTTACAATTTCTAAACATATGATGACTTCCTAAAAGTGTCCCATTCACACTTACACATGCATGATGAAATTTGGAATGAGGAAGAGAAATTGGGTACGTGAGTAAATAATTTCAGTATGCTGCCCCATCCAGGCCTGACTGATATGACTGAGAGAATGGTATGTATAATTCCTTCTTGCAATACACACATAAGCATATCTAACATACATCAGAATGTAGCATATTAATGTAAGCTTTTATATATAAAATAAAATATTACCTTGTGCTCATTTACATACATAAGTAATGAGTAACTTGGAAAGGTCCAGTCAAGCTCAGTACATCCAGAATCTCTCAGCAGAGGAACTGAAGACTATATTATTAGCTTTTTATTTCCTTTTGCATCTAAAATAAAATATTGAAGCTCCAAAGTGAGAGGTGTGAGCAACAAAGAAGCAAAACAGGAGCTGAACCACCTCAAGGAGATGACACAATGAAACCCCAACAAGCAACTAAACCTAAATGACTGAAATGGAACTGAAGGAAAAGCAGTAGGGAGGGAGTAAAGGTGTTATCATTTAAAATACAGTACAAAATACTACATCAGTAAATGGAAGTAAGTGAATAAAACAAGTTAGTGGCTACCATTGGTAAAGTGTCATTTCAGCCAATTAAACTATTACTTAACATTGCTTTTTCAAGCATTATGTATAACTGCAGTACACAAGCAAAACACTAGAACATAAACTAATGAAGTGGTAACATGTTTAATTAACATTAGTTAACCATTATCAATGTAGAACCTTAGTTGTTAATAAATGCATTACTTAATGTTAATGAGTCAACACTTCACATGAAAACATCATTAACTAATGCAGTTGTAACATGTTTACTTAACATTAGGTAACCTTTGTTAATGCATTACTTCATGTCTTGTTCATGTTAACTAATGCATTACTTCATATTAGTTAGTCAACACTTAATGTAAAGTGTTACCGAAACTTGCTCTTCAAAGTTAAGATGCTTGCAACTGTTGTGGCTGAGTTTTTAACAATTAAAGTTGCTTTAACGTTTCACTATGTAACGTCAGCCTAAAACTGTCACTAAAAGAGGAAAGAGAGACAAAAACATGTATGTATGCTCTTGGAAACAAACCAACTGCATTTAAAATTTATTAGAACATTTCTGAGAACAATCTGAACTGTCAGCCACACAGTAAGTCACCTTAATGCGTGAGACATAGCAGTGTTAGTGTAAGTGATGGGATGCAAACCAGGACAACCACCACGTCTCTGATAAGAGAAGCTCAGCACTAATTTGGCTTCTGATAAATGAAACACAGAGAGTTTCATATGAACCAGTCATATCAGTCAGGGTTTCACTGCTGACATGAGAAGACCTCCTATTTCCATCACTGTTTTAAACACAAACTAAAAGCTTTTTCGCCCAAGACAAACAAAAGCTTATCTCTGCCTCCTCTAGGTATTTTATAACTGTGGAAGCTGAAAAGTCGACTAGAAGAGCTGTGAAACCAATCACTCCTTCACAGGTTATCTAACTGGTCACGTATCTGTGAAGCATCAGCTCTTGTCAGACAAGATCTCTCAAAAATCCTTGCAAATTTTGCAAAAATATGAAAAGATAACAGGATACCATTCATTCTTATGGCTTATTTTGGACACCAATATCCAAATGAATGCTTTTTAAAAGTTCTGAGAGAATCATTTTCTTTAAGCCCAGATTAGAGCATATATCGGTCCGCTGGCTTGATAAGTTCAGCACCCCACTTATTGTTTGCCACTGCTGGTCCACCCTCAAACCACCCAGATTATTGTACTGCATACAAGCTCTAACTAGTTTTTAATCTCCTTTTAACAGATTTTAAACGCACAGAGCCTTTTGTGTCAGAAAATAAACTAAACTACAAACAACTGAGAGAAAAAAGTAATGACTAGGCCTAAGGTAAAATGATTTTATAGAAAATGTAGTTGCTGACAGTGTGCTTGATTAAAATTATTTACTAAACTAATTTATAAAGTATAACTAAAGAAAGGAAGGACAGAAAACTAAGTAATTTGGACTGTGAGTGCAAAATGAGCGATGATAAGTGTAATTTTGCCTATTACTCTCCTTAACCACCAGTGGGCCGCCTGGAAAACACTGAGCAAAATGCCAGTGGACGCCATCAGCAGGCCAACAGTGGTCCACTGTCCTCTTGCTCTCAGGGAGTATTTGCTGTCACATTTCGTTTAATCAATTGGAAGATGTGGAAACATCCACAGATAGCAATGACTAAAGAGATCAGTTTTAATAACACAAAAATAGCTTTCCACTTTAAAGGGGAAATAATTAAGATTAGCAGGAGCTTCCTCTGTGTAGGAACTGTCAGTCAGTCCTGCTGCTGCTAGGATGTGTGAAAAAAAAAGAAGTGGCCCGTATAAACTCTGACCTGTACTGCCATCTTCTGCTCAACACTGTTATTGCACTGCTGTGTCCAGCAGTTTCCAAATCTTCTGTAGAACATTTACCAGCTTGTAATCTAAGCCTAACTCTAACTCTAATGTTTCGTTATATCCTCTACAGGGATTCATACAAATTCATTATGGCTTTTTAAAATATTTTAATGCACAATTAATTACCTTGTTTGCTGAGTTTCACATGTTGGTGAAGAATAAAACATAAAATATATAATGTGTCATAACTTTGCATGGGACACATTTTATATTTTGTTTTGTTTTCCAATATGTTGAATTCAGCAAATAAACAGTAATTGAATAGTTTGCTGTATATCCATTTGTAACAATTCTGGTATTAATGAGTTTTTGAAAACAATAACAGTTATAATAGATAGAATAACACCTTGTAAAGGTGGTATTAATCATAATATAGCACTGATATTTCTTGTTTGTGTAAAGCCCACTTCCAACAACATACATCATGAAAAAAGAACACTTTTGACAGTGATCTGTAATGCATTTTGGAATTAGACTTCTCAATTGTACATTAAAATGTGCAGAAATGTGTTCTCTGTAGAGTATGTGTTAACCAATTTTCACTTAGAAAATAAACAAAAAATGTAGTTTGGCCAGGAGTGCCCACACTTTTGCATGGTTAATAGTTCAACAGTGTCATTATTAAAGTTATGACTAAGATCACATCAACATGAGAGCACTGCTCTTTGCATACTCTTACAGAACTCTTACTGTAGCAGCAGTTTTCACCTGTGAAATGCAACACGGCTTTTAAGCAGAGGAACCTCATGAGTGAAGGCTGAATTCCAAATGGCTTGGCTCCAAGCTCTGAGCGCTAAACTGTTTATAATATCAAAATGTATTTGTATAACATTACGTAGGTTTTTTTCATTTTGCTGAACTACACTATTCTTTTTCCTTATTGTGTAATTTTCTGTTTTAATTTTCTTTTTTTAATTTCATTTTTATTAAATCTCATTTTGAAATTGTTATACACATTCATAACAATAATAATAATTACAATAATAGTAATAATAATTATTGTTGTTGGTGTTGACTGTACTGTACTGACCGGCAACTTCATTCAAGTACATATCTTCGTATCTCGTGCTGAACTACAAAGTGCACCAATATGGTAAGTGGAGCTGTTAAAATGGACAAAGTGTGTAGATACAAGGTAGGTGTGCGAAATGAAGTGGCCAGTCGATGTATATTTACAATACGATTTACACTGTAGTGCAGTGGTGAGGTGCTTTACAGATATAACAACCGTGGGCAAAAAGCTTATCCCAATTAAATTAGCAGCAAGTAAGAGATATGCACTCAGTCATGCTTATAATTAGAGCATCCATGTTGATCTAATTAGTATATGAGCAAGACCTCTGCTCTGAATCCCTCTGTGCTCTCTCTCTGTCTTATTTCACTGTCCTTTCTCCTCTCTCCTTTCTCCTCTCTTTTCTCCTCTCTCTCTGTGCGCTCTGCCCGCTCCATTCAGGAGAAAACTCTTCTTAATAATTAAAAATGGGGAAGATGGGCTGAATTCATTTGCCAGCATCTGCAGATAGAAGTGCTCTCTGAATAGAACATTATTATTTTGATTTGTGTGTGTGTGTATGTATATGTGCGTGTGTGTGTGTGTGTGTGTGTGTGTGTGTGTGTGTGTGTGTGTCTGTGAGTGTATTTTCTTGGCATTAAGACAGAAACACACTCGCACACATATCGGAGAAAGGCCACCTGCTTCATTTTCCTTCGCTTCCGGAAAATTCCTCT